GAAATGCAGACGAAGGATAAGGCATCCGGACCTTTGTGAAAGCCATATTCTAAGTTTGTAGAACTGAGAAATAATTGAAAACATTACATTGCTAAGTTCTGTAATTGTGGAGCGACGGTTCTATGAAATGCGCTGCCGTTCATCTTGCGCAAGGTCGTCATTAATGATACACAGTCATCTAGTGAGTCATCTAGTCATCATGATCGACTTGGAAGACCTTCATAAATTTGTCTGCGCCAAAGGCGTACTAATAAAGCTCAAAGACCTGACACAGCTGACGATAAATTTCGATTAGCGATACTTTCTGCGCATTCTAAAACTTTATCACGAATCTAAACTCGCACTTGGAGAGCGATAAGATAACAGCCAATATTCTGACTTGCTGTAATTGCGATTGATCGAGAAGTGGCAACTGTCATATGTGAAAAGCCACATCTTAATATTCTTCTGAATGCGCATTCGTCTTTCGCAATGCATGGCCTGTTGTCTGTCGTCTGTATGGGAAATTTATTGTCTGAATTCACCTCGTCTTACATTACACCTTACATTACCTCGTCTTACGGCAGACAAGTTCAGAATTCATTTCTAAGCAGTAATACCAATTGGGAACTCGTATGAAGGTGTGCTTTCAGATTAAAAATATTCACAAGGTATTTCAACTCATTGTTTAAAAACAAAAAACAATTTTAACGGTAAACAATTTGATTCACACTTTATCATAGCATAATTATAAACACGTCCACCTACTAATTTTTATGTTATGACAAGTAAAGGTAGAAGTAGGCAGAACACTAGAGCTTAATCATTGGTCGTACAGGTATAGCCCCACTGCACTGAGGGAGTATGTTAAGTGTTTCATGTGACCACATGGCGGACAGTTACGCTTTTTACACTTAACTAACATCCATACTTACTCCGAGATTGTAACGCGAGCCCAAAGGTACGGCAGCCAGCATCGCTAACCGCTATATTGTTCAGGGACATTATGCTGATTTTAATATTCATTTTGTATTGGGCGGCATTTTGGCAGCGGTTTACTACGATAACAAAAAAATGATCGATCACAAGCGTTTGCTCATACGAGCAAACATAAGAGCTCATCATATTAAACCAATGCTCAAATGCCCCTGGCAAAAAAAAAAAAAAAAAAAAAAAAGTGGTTCCACCGTAATTGACACTAAACTGGCAACCGTGGAGGGTCAAAATTTGCTTCTCTTTTGTACTTGTTGGTTATACCTTCTATAACTAAAAACTCCCTATTCATTATTCGTATGCTTTGCGATGCATAAAAACAAATCTTACCTTTTTCATGTATTTGAATTCATCGGATATTTAAATCAATTTAAATTATTTTATGTATTTTAATTTAAAAACAATTAAGTTGGATATTTGAATTAATATTGCGTGAAGAAATATATACATATATATTAGCGGAATATGCTAAACAATGCAGAATTGCAAAGAAAATGGTAATGTTAAATAAATCGTTTTTAAATTCTTATCTTTTCTTTTCAAACTACAAATCCCCAAAACTGTTAAAAATATTCAGTGTTTTGTTACCGAATAAAAAAAATATTCATGCGCTTTAGCAGCTGACTGCATAAATTGGCAGTTCGATAAATAATTTATTTTTATTTTTCTGTTTCTCAGGTAGCAGAGAGAAAAATTTATTTCTAAGCAGAGAAAATAATCTTACCTGTTTTCACTTTTTGAGAAGCCTTACACAAATTCTTGTTTGTTTATTTTCGTTGACAGTGGAAAGAAATGTACTGAGCTGAAATAATCTGTAAAAATACAATTCTGTAAATACACTCAAAGTTCTACAAAAGTGACTGAAGGTTTAATTTCTTAAATGCTGATTTTAACGTATACGCCCAATTAAAGATTTTCTTAAATAAAGGCGCAGAATTTTTGTAATAATAGTCTCAATGAGTGCGAAAGATTTCTTGATGAGGGGAATGGTGTTTTTTACTTGTTCTATGGATCAAAAATCCCCATAAGCAAAATATTAATTTAGTTAGTTAAGAATTAGAAATCCCAGATCTTTATGTGAAGAATTCGTGAAGGCATTTAAGAAGAATGACCGAGGTCTCTTTTTCTATGCTTATTACAGACTTAAATTCAAGACTTCTGATAGAGATTTAGAGAGCAAAGCAAAAGTCTTTCATTTCGACGATTAAAGATTCGATCTCGCATAATTCAGCATTATAACGTGGATTCACGTGTGATTTCGCCACTGCTTTCTATTGGCTTACGGATGATCGCAGCTTTTCTATTGGCCTGTTGGTGTCACGACTCAACTTTCCTCTTTTCTTGGAGGCATGGACTTGGATTTCACGTTATCCATATGTCGTTTCATTATTAAAGATATTCTACTCGAGGTTTGTTATATGAGGGTCTCATAACCCGGGGTGCACATTTGAAAGTAATATCATAGGATTTCTGGAGCTCGTACCTTGCATAAATCATTAGCATTCGTCGTTTGTCGCGAATATCTGAATCAGTTTTGCACATCAAGGTACCGAACAGCACTTTAACTAAAAAAGACATGATGAATACTTTGCTGATGGAAATTTTTACTCCATGGGAATTAAATAATGAGTGAGATTACAAATTACTACAAAATTCTGTACCACAGATTTTGAAAAGAATATAATATACTTATCTATGTTTATCACTAATATTTTCAAAGCTTGAATGAATTTCATAAGATATTTCCTTGAATATCTTTTACATGCGTTAATTTTTTAAACCAATTTATTCATGTCAGGGGTACTTAAATATTAGTTTAAATATAGTCATTGGTATAATTCGTAGCGTTAATCGTATTCTGGTATTATTTTCCAGGAATAAATTAAGAAAAAATTATCAGTGCTGCGTATTAAAACAATATTGTTAGTTCTGTTTCTTCGGATTCATTCCAGGGTCTACGTAGCATATTTCAGTCCATTTACTTTTCATTATCTATTTGAGGGAAAATGTTTGTTAAAGGCAAACATCCCTTTCTGTTTGCTTTTAACGGTCAGCATTTGCCCAGTTGAAACTTAATGTTTAAATTTATTCACGTCCTTCGACCTACCAAATACAAATGTTATCACAGGATAACCATTTCAAAGTTTGTAAAAGGAGAGGAATAATGGTTTCATTATTTTAATTTTTGATAGAAAAAATAATGCTTTCGCACTGTTAATAAGGCAAAATTCTCTTTTTTCCCTTTGAAGTAAAACACGAATTCAAAGTTCTAAACCAAAATATTATTAATGTAGTAATAAATATTTGTCTTAGGAATTTCATACGGACATATTAATTAAAACACGTGTCATAATTTTTTTTGGTTGTCTAACTGTATTTAAAGTCTACTTAAATCATCAAATTCTCGTTATTTCAAAAGATAATTGACAAAATATTTCGAATTTTTTCGTATTTATTGCTAATATTTTATGTTAAAAATATTATTTTAGATGTAATAGTTAAAATGTCACGTTTTTAAAAAAAAATGTTAAAATATCGATATGTAGCGGAACAGGTAAACAAGACGCCATCGGTTAAATAAATAAAGTAAGCAAAATATTTGAATTAATATGAGATGGAAAACACAGTTTCAAGACATCAATTAATTTTAAAATTAGACTGTAAATGGGCATCTAAATTCACAGAATAAAGAATTATATAAGTCGTAATTAATAATTTAAATATTGAATTAATTTTGTAATTAAAAATAAAAATAACTTCAAAAATTTAAAAATATTTTTCTTTTTAATATTGCCCGTAACCTAAATTGAAATTACGCTTCGTAATATAGCGAAATTTTTCTAAATGGAAATGTGAACTGAACAGAAAAATGAACAAAAGAACCAGGTAACTGGATATTTGGAGTTCGAATGACTTAAACATGTAAGTTGATATCAGGTATGATCAAAATGTCGATCGCAAAGCATTTTTTGCTCGATCCTGTCAGATAATTTTTTTATTTCAACTCATATAGCATATCATAATAATATATGTTCAGTGTTTATTAGAAATATGATTTCATACTGTTACATATTGCATATTTATCTAACAGCGTCATCAGTTAGTCCATGGGGCTTGAATTCACAAATTGGAGAAGTAACTTGGAACTAATCTTCTCTAAAATATATCATAACAAGAAGTAAGTTCGCCGCCACTATTATACGGGAAAATGAGCAGAAATGAAGCACATTGATATAGAAATCAGAATCTGGGCACACGTATCGGCGTAACATAGATAATTGTGTACAATAGTTGTTACGGTAATTTCGAAGATCAAGGTCAAACAGAACTTAGTTTTTCATTTACGAAAGTAAGTATGAGACGAAGAAGCGTGTGCTTCATGAATACAAACACTCATACACACACAAGAAAAAAAATGCGTTTACTGCACAGATGACAGGAAATGAAACCTTATCGTCATCTATTGGTCGAAAAATGTAAACGAGAGGCATTTAATGGAAGTTTTTTAAAGGCTAACGGGAGATTCCTGGACATTTTCAAGAAACCTAAAAGTTGCTGTTGCAGTTAGTGTTCCATATTTTCACAGCTATTAACCGTTATCCTCTGAAGAACGTGATTCGCAGTTGCTTTTCTTTCACTTTTCGTCAATATATGGCGTTATGAATTTTGTTTCCTATCAGTTGCAAAGTTTTGAAAGAAGAGATGCGTTTCTTTTCGTATCATTGCCACATTCTCAGCAGAAGAAGGAACGCTATTTGACCTGAAACTTATTATCATGCACTTATTTTCATTAAGGTAACTCATCATTATTGTTTTCTTTGGTGTTTAATTTCTTTTGATGCATCCTTTTTTAGCACATAATGATGACAATGCTTGGTTTCTTTTCACATCATCGCTGGTTGTCGTAAGCTGGGAGAAAGATATGTGAAACTGACGCTGAACGCAGCTTTCTGTTTTATTTAATATTGCCTCATATGTATGATATCTATAAAAATTAGATGTTACATTGCTATCTTCCTTTCCTGCAGAAATATAAGTTGCCGAACTACAGAATGGGGCGAATGGTCAGAATGTAGTGTCACCTGTGGCAAGGGACTTCGGACACGTAGTCGCAAGTATCTGGACAACAGGGCACGAAAAACCTGTGCTTTTGAATTGATGGAGAAAGAGACCTGCATGGCACCGAAAGCAGTGTGTGATACCGAACCTATAAGGGTATTTATAAGCAAGTTTTAATTATAAAATATCATATAATAGCTTTGTTTGTGGATTCTTATCATCCAGTCTAAAGGATTCATTATATACATTTCATATATGGTCGGTTATTTCAAGACCTAATTGACAAAATTTAAATGAAATTAGGTATGATATAATATGGGTTGATATAATGGAAAAAAATAATCAATGCCATCTGTCTTAGTACACCCGCATAATCGCATAACGCTTATAGACATAGGAAGGTATAACACGGAAGTTGCAAGATCAAACACAAAAGCAGGTTAATAAGGGATGCCCCCTCTAGCAGCCCCAGAGCTCTCACAACGTAACTTTATATTGCAAATGACGCAGTCTATGAATTCCTGTTGCAGCTGATTACAGTCGTGCAGAATCCAAGAAGGTTTTTAGGAAAGTCAAGGCCAGTTGCAGTTACCCTCCGAAGAGCGTTCCGGACGTGTTCACTTGGCTTTAAAGTCTTAAAAGTCTCTGGCTTGTCAATCGATTCGGTTAATATCCCCATTTTCTAGAAAATCTCACACCAAATTAGTCCTATGTGGATGTCGTCCATTAAGATGAGCTTAGAGCAAAATGTCACCTTGAAAAGGCGAACATAGAACTGTCTGATTTCTTTTCTATTTCTCGCAAGTGTCACAGAGCTTCTATCAAAAGCATAAAGTATGTGCGCTCCAATAACGTGTATGTTGTCCTCAGAACTCGTGTAATGCTCGGCTGTTCTGCAGCACGATAAGTTCATTTATCATGAGGAAAATATGACTTTCTGTTCTGATAAGACTCATTACTTGCATTTTTGCAAAGCAGAAAAAAATAGCAAGTAAACTTAAAGTACGTGCTCAGGAAAGATCTCTATCATCGTGTTTCTCATAGTCTTGGAAGAATGCTATCCCGAATTTGTGTAACAGCCCAAGGCGTAGAGACGTCGCTGAATTCCGCCTTGCCACCGGACATGACTGCCTACGATGTCATCTCCATCGATTCAAAATTGTTCCTTCTCCGATATGCACTCTGTGCAGCTCTGGAGACATGATGGACGCCGCACATCTATTCCACTTGTCCTGCTCTGCGCAAGAATTTTCTCGTCAAGCGTTACTGGGAAGCAAGAGATATTTTTGATTAATGGACTCTTGTTGCAGATTTTTCTTTATATTCTATGTTCTTGGTTTTTGCTGTAACTGTTCATAATCTGCCATTGGAAATTAATTTTAAGTCAGTAGAGAATCTTAAGTATCTTGGTGTTATGACTGACATAAAACTTACTTTCAGCCGTCGTTCCCAGGGTGTACATAAAAAATCGCAAAAGTGTTTTAAACTGTTGTGAAAGAAACTTTTCTAGTTTAAGATAAAATATTATGTTGAAAATTTACAATAATGCTGTACTAACTTTAATTATGTACGGTACTGGACATCGGGCTTCAGCGCAGCTGACTTGCAGAGACTGATGGCAAAATTAGACCTTATTCAAAGGAGTTGGATGTCGGTGGCTACGTGCTGTTTTCATACTACCTCAACTGAAGTTGTCTGCGTCTTGGCCGGTACACCTTCCCCTGGTTGGTATAGGTATTTTAATTAAACTTTTTAATTGAAATCAAATAATGTGGATTTTATTGATATATACATAATATCATTGCACGCAGAGATGTTACAAAATGATGAAATTGACTGCGTTTGCTTGTTATTATTATGATGCTAAAATAGAAGCACACATTTTTTAAGTTAGATAGATTTAATTCTGTCTGTATCAAGCTAAACTTACAGCCGTTTATTTTGCATTGTTGTGTATTCATAAAACCTTTTGTTAGTAAATAGACCTTTCATGTATATTCAGATTCACTTTCTGCATTGCAGTCATTAAGTTGTCCTGAACATAAAAATATACTTATACATGAGATTAAGATATTGTATGAATCTAATATGGAAAAACATAACCATTCATTTATATTGGGTTAAGGCCTGTGTTGGTATAGGGGTTAACGAGAGGACGGACGCACTGGCTTAAGAGGCTGCTCTAGTTGGAGAATGGGTAAAATATATTTAAGGTTCTGGAAGAATTACAGTTACTCAACTGATGAATTTTTATTTTGATAAATCGAAGGAATAGTGGCGTGGGTCTGAGAGATACACGGAGTATATGGAAGAGTTTTATTTCTGCAAGTAAATGCTATTCTAAAATTGATCTTAATCAAACTATAAGTGGGCATGGCAGGTTTCCTGCGTATTTGGAAAGATTTGGACTCCAGAATGCAGACTTGTTCCGCTGCTGTAACCTTTTAGGCGACGCTACGCACTTCGTCGAGGTTTGGTCTTTAACCCAAAATTTGGGTTTGCACAGGAAATGCTAATCGTATTGGTATTGATGTTTTTTTGTTTGCATGCTGTTTTTTTTTCTTTGTTTTGTTTTAGGTGTGTCTTGTTTTTAGTGTGTCCTAACTCCGTTATTTTTAGTTAATTTTATTCTGTTTCTCTTCTTTACCTTTGGGTCTTTCATCCAGCACTTGAATTTGACTTCGATGGTTCATTGTGGCAACCCATTTCTGGAGGTATTTTATTATTTTATTTTTGTTTCCTTTTTATAACTTTTTAGTTATTCGAGACTCTGGACATGGTTTCCCAGATTTGATAATTTACAATTGTGCTTATTTATTTCGATTCACTTAATGGTTTATGCGTATATCGTTTTTTTCGGGGGGGGCATGGCCACGTCGCTGCATGTCCCTGTTTGTTGTTGGAACTGGAGCTTACGCAAGAATAAGATTACGTACGATTATGCATGTGTACCATAGCATACTTTTTGCATTATATCAACCAATGTTAGTAACCAAAAATCGTCAAAAAATGTGCCCATAATTTTTGGAAATAAGTGGTCAAATATGAAAATTCTTTAATTCTTATAGCGAGTGCAGAAGCAAAATTTTCTGTTTATTAATTTTTTATGAAATATATTATGCAATATACGGTTTGTAACATAGTTGCAGTAAATGGATGTTTCTTAAAAAATGAATTATATGTTTAAGAAAGGTTGACTTTCTTTGTTTTTATATGCTACATTAAATGGGATTTATAAATGAATACATATAAGCCTTTAATATGATGGCAAAGATTTTAGAGCTTTCAGAAACTGGAACTGTGCTATTCCAAATATGAAAAATCACATTGGGAAATTTTGATCTTGAAGTGTTTTAGTCATTAATTATACCTAACTAAAAATGTAACTATTCATTTTACTATTTTTCAGATGGGGGATACAAATACTTCCTATTAGAATATTTAATAGTGAATCTGCCATTATATATCTTTACAGCCAGGAAGACGAAGACCGGAAGTGAATCCAGAACAGAATAATGCATCTGACGATTTGCTTTATAGGATTCTTCTGGACGTGGAAATGGACTTAGATGTACAATTTTCAGCTTAAATTTGAGGAACTAACTTACTAACTGATACTGATTAATAAAAATGGAGCATTTTTCTAATACTATCCCAAATTTCTCCCACTAAACTATTTTTTGTGGAAGTCAAACGTTATAGAGTTTCAGTAAGCATGTTATGCATGAGGTTGCACGGTTACACGGGATGTCATTTATCTTCAAGTATAATATGTATATACGTAAATCACTACGCATACGGCCATGAAAATTAAACAAAGAAGTCAAATATTTTAACCATCAATTAGCCGTGCTAATTAATGCATGTGTCTATTAATGGATAACCGGAAAGAACAAATGCAGTAATAGCTGAGTCGAATTATAATCAGTACCTTAAGAAATTAACGCTTGAGAAGTTTTAAATGGCTGCCGTAGATTGTAGCGAAGACTTCACACTTATTAATACAAATATGTTAATAACTGTTTTTTATATTTAGTGATTGTTTTAATTAAGATATTCATCAATTAACTCTCATTAAAACCCCTGGTTTACATCATATCAAACGCTAATATAAATGCTTATAGGTAACTGACTTTTTATACAGTGTCTGTGAACTGAAGTAAGGAGAATAGATTTTACCTTATTATTTGAGAGTGAAGTAGGGAAATTTAAAAATATGGTTCTGTGTTAACCAAGTAAGACTGTTCGTGTAAATTTCAGCCGCCGTTCTCGGTATATTAGTTATTAAATTAATGTATATAAAAGTCTGAGTTATTATCTCCCTAAAAATAGAAACAGGTTAATTAATTTATGAAACCGATATATGCTAGTTTTTAATTCAAAGCTAGTCTTAACGCATCTGCGCATTAACGTTGTTTGTATAGAAGAGAAGTTTTTTATTTTCCAGAGAGATAAAACATTCTGCGTTGATTGAGATAAGTCACTGGAGATCAATCGCTTAATAAGTAGAAATAAAAAAAGCAGATAATACAAAAGGAAGCAGCAATCTTTTATACCATCTGGTTGAACAAAATGAAAATCAAAATAATCACAAATTTTGAGATAAAACTTGTTTTGGTTAATTAAAATCATTAACTGAAATTATAGACTTTTGGTGAATTTGGATGACTTCTAGATAAACTAATTCGCCAGAGAAATTTTTGGGAAACATTTCCGTGGAAGCATTGTTGGGACAATGGTTAGGGATCAACAACGATTAACTATGGTAGATTTATTTATTTCTAAAATTCTTTATAGTCTGTTTAATACTTTTGCAGCTAAATTAGATAAGATTTTGAATCTCCATTAATGCAAATTCTTTCAGTTACATATTTTTCTGAAACTGATATTGTAGCACATCTTTAAAGGGGAAAGCCAGTGTGATTAATGTTTCTAAAAATTATGATTAGGCTACGCTTTATAAAATATTAAAAATGATTCATTTTGTACAGATTAGTTTTGATAATAATTTTATTTTTAAATACATTCTCCATTAAAACAAACTTCAAAATTTCTCTTTCGAACACCTTTTTCAAATAAAGAGGTGAATGAATTTGCATTTTAAGAAATTAGCAATTTAAAAAATTCCTAATTTTTACGTATTATTGTAATTACATATTAAACTCTGAAACTACTCTCGCAATCTGAAACTAATTTCGCATAAAAAATGTAAGAAAAATGCGTAATGAAAATGAGTACCCTCAATTAAACACGCCAGTGTTTACAAAAAACATGCAGCTTATAATATGAAGCTTTAAAAATTATAATGTTCCGTAAATAATCAGGAGTTTCTGCTTTCATACATACTTTTCTAAAATATTGTTCTAGAACTCAATGTAATCTGTCTCTCAAAATCGTCACTGTATCAAGACAATGATCTCTACTTTTCTCTCTTGCTTGACTTTCATTTGGAGGATCCATTTTCTAGGCCCATAAACTTATCGATTTATTAAGACATTATTCTAGAAAGCACGTCGCGAGCACAATAGGCCCATGTGCTTGTATATTATTTTATAAATCCGTAATCCGCGGTCAGTGGTAAGATCATCACAGATTCCTCATAGAGTCGTAAAAGTTCAGTTGTGATGTTCTGAAATTTTATACTACTCTAATTTGTTGCAATCTTTTATGAGTCTCTTTGTCTTATATTCGTTCACTTTCGATGAACTTTTCGACGGTTGTCTGTTAACCGTTTCAGTATCACGAGATTTGGTAGAGCCTACGCGGGAATCTTTCTAAAAAAAGTTCGTGAAAACCGCCAACTTGCACCGGATAAGTCACTTTTAGCTTTTCATCTGTAAAAAAATCGCCAAACTGGGCCGAGCAAGTTGCGTTAATACGTATATACCGAAAACTCCTATACATCATGTTTGATATAGTCAGGAAAAAATGTATTTTGAGAATTTTATTTTTAGATGAAGACATTCCGAAGAAAATAATGATAATAATTTATATATCTTCTTTCAGATCTGCTTTAACCTAAAAGGGAAAACGTGATTATTTTTCCCTAATTATCCTGCATGCAGAATTGTAAACTAACGAATAACTGAAATAAAGCATGTGAATGAATAACATAATAAAAATATGCGTTTGTTTTCATTGAAGAGATATTTCTCATTTAAATTATAATTAAATACCTATTTAATTCAGCATGCTAAGTAAAAAATCCTAATACAACTAATTGAGAAAGTCAGAGTATTGAGTCCAATTAGTGAAGTATGTGATTTTTTTCATAAGTACTGTAATTCCTAAGCCACTAAAATCAGCAAAATGTTTAGGCATGATCTCTTATAATTAAAATCTTTGTGCTGTGAAATATATATGTATTACATGTTTAATTTAATTATCACTGTAATATTGGACTCTACCCGGATAAAGGCAGAAGTAGTTCAAACTGTTCTCTACAATGAACATATTTAATTAATTAAAGTTAAATTAAATATAAATTTTTAAAAAGGTATTATTAACAATGAATATTTTTGCTATATTATATTCAAATATCTAATGCATGATAACTTGAATTAATAAATTGATCGTTATAACTAGGATAGTTATTTTATATCAAACTAGGATAGTTATTTTATATCAGGAAAACTATCAAAATTTGGAGAGTAGTCACTAGATAAAACTCAAAATTTAATAAAAATTTCCCTGTCATGGATTTTTAATCAATTTTCTACCAAAAATATTACTACAAATAACTAATAAATAAATATTGCTCTGTTTCTCTCTATATCTATTTTTAAATATATTCATATATTTATCCTGCCAATCCAAATCTGGTAACGTTATTTAGTATTTCTAATTTTGCAAGAGGTTTATTTTGGATCTTAAAGCTGTGGATTTTAATTAGAAATTTAACTCAGAAAAGTTAGCTATTAGGTATTTGTAAAGTAGTACTTTAAATATTTGAAAATGAAGATTCGGGGTTTCCATATTAAATACCAAAGTTTCATTAATTCCAGAGTATGAAATTTGTTTTACAATGGAGATATTAAATGGAAATATTATTGCCACTGTGCCTCCTACATGCAAATGTTAGATTTTAATGTAATGAACTCTTCAAAACTGAAAATTAACGAATATTTTGTTAAAAGTTTCAAGGATAAATTAATTTACTTTGCGAAACAGGCATTTGTGTTGAACATTAAAAGCAAAACACGTTCGAGGAATTTGTCAAAAAAAAAAAAAAAAAAAAGTACTGAAAAGAATTTAGTGAAGTTCGATCTTGACCCGGTTGTCTACATATATGGCCAATTTCTTTTCTCCTTTTCTTTCTTTCTGTCTTTCTTTTCATTAATTTCTTTAAACTGTTTACATATTTATCCCACAATGCTTTTAGCTACTTTTAGGTCGTTACAGGCTTCTCAGGTCTGTCCTGCTTTTACTCTCCCAATCACAATCCGTCAGGTACGGCATGTTCCAGCTTTCATTCTCAACGGTATGTTCAACGGCTTTCTCAACGACATGTTCCATCTTTCATTAGCGAAGATTTTATACACGTTCCAAAATAACGGGCCCAAAAATTTACTAATGTATAGCAAAGGTGAATCTCATTCAGCTACGTGATAACATTGACCTCCAGTCATTTTTCATTGGACTAAACTATATAGAATTAACATAAAACACTTTCTTACAGTTGTCCCTTTAATCTCCCCTTTCCAGTACAGTTGAGTAAAATGGAAATCGTAAAATGAAAACTGATTATCGAATTAAATTCAGGCCTAAAAAAATTAATTAATTTTTGTATACTTTTCTGCAATCGCTTGCTGTTAGCAGCAGAACTAAACGCCCCATTATTCATGCCTAAAATCTCCATGCCAAATCTAATTTTTGCTGAAAATTTCTTTTGTATTATTTTTTGCATTTCACTCCTGCGTTTCTCCGTATTTCATTGGGCAAGTGGAAAAAGGACTACAGCTTATATCATCTTAAGCCAAAAAATAGAACAAGAGCAGCATATAGTTTCATTTTGTATTCGCAAAATTATGACAGATATGTTATCTTTCGCTTCTCTTCTCATTTAGAAATCTGCTCTGGTAATTTTTCGTGTATAATTTACTGTCTCTTTATTACGACATATGCTCGCTCTGTTTACCTACAAATGAAATCTTCTCTTTTTACACTTTTAGCAATCATTTATGCTGCAAGCCTAAGCTTGAACAAAGGGATTTAATATTTTAAAAAGGCATTGCTGGCTCTGGGAGTTACTCTCCTACCATTCACCATCGTATATTAGAAACTTCCTGATCTCCGTTTTCTTGAACATTAAGCCTCCTCCCTAAGATCTTTTCATTTCCTATCATTAATTTGCTTTCCATCCTTAAAATAAGCTTGTTCCTTTCCATATATTTCAAAGAATGGTTTTTCCTTATCGTTAATTTTCACTTAAGTTATTTCATTTCCTACTATCATTTTGCCTTTCATCTCTGTACGTAGTTTTCTTCCTTCCAAATGCACCAAACAGTGCGGCTTTCTCTTATCAGTAGTCGTTTTACTAAAGACATTTAATTTCCTACCATGCTTTTGTTTCTCAAACCTAAATTCAATTCTGTCCTTTTCAGAAGTTCACACGGTATGGTTGACAGCCTTCGAGTGTTTTATCAAAAAAACTCAAAAAAACGAACAGCATATAGCTTTTCTTTTATTCTTTAAACCAGTCAACAAAATGACTTTTTCTTGCGTAAAAGATGGAATACCCCATCCACGTTCATGGACCATTTAAGAAATTGTTTATCACTGTGGTTTTGCGTGTATAAGCCAAACTGCCAGATCTTTAAAACGATTCAAGGGAAATTAATATGTAAATTTTATATATATTTAAAAAAAATTCATCATACCCTTGCTTAACATCTTAATTTAGATATCTTAGAAGCTTCCAATATATTTCTACATAGCAACTTCATGAGGGACGTAACTTCTATATCATTTCTATTAGGAACTGCCAAAATGTATGATATGCTACACTTCTATTCTTTATATCAAGCAGTCTCCAATTCCTTCCTGGCACTATAACTTCTACTGCAAATGTCAGGAGTAACAACAATGCTTTAATAACGTAGGGCCCCTTCCATAAATCGAAATGAAGAGAAAATTTTATTATTTATAAAATTTATCACTTATTAAAATTTTATTATATACTATTTATTGATTATATATGGTAGTTTTTATGCTGAATTTCTTCGTCTGTTTATTGTGATAGACAATGACTCGTTTTTGTTTGGTGCATAGTTAGTGATTTATATGTGCGCTCCGTAAAATCAGCTCATGAATATTTAACACAGTTCGTTGAAATAATAAACAATCTGATTGTTTATAGCAAATTCAGAAGCAGTCTATGTACTTGAGTAGAGTGTAAGATAAAACATGAGTTTAATCCCAGTTCTAATATCTTTTTTATAGCCGAATTCCACATGTGCAGTTACTCAGTGGTCTGAATGGTCTCCTTGTACCGTAACCTGTGGTAAAGGATTGAAAGTTCGCACTAGATTGTATCTGAAAACGTCTGCAATGAGCGTGTGCAACGTAGAATTAATGCAGAAAGCTCCTTGCACAGCTGACAAGCCGGATTGCTCCATTGACTTACAGCAAGCAAAAAGTATGAATTCTCTACATTTATAACTTACTACCTTCTAGAATGTATTTCATTTCCTGAACTACGTAAATTAATATGACTATTACACTCCACATAAATTGTTAGATGTTAAATCAGTTGATTTGTCTTGATATTTTCTAAAGCGTTGGATACAATAGTCGATATTCTGAAAATAATTCATTACCATATGTAAAATTCATTACCATATGTAAAATACTTACAATCTGTCAGTATAATTGCCTGCCATGTCTACCACCTTCTGCCAAAGTGCAGCATTAGCACATCTACTTTCCTCCGCAGTGACCGCCTTAAAGCATCCTAACCGGCTCTACATTTTTGTAATGGATTATTTGCAGTTGTTCCTTCATTTTGGCCAAGAAATCATAGTTACACGGACTTACATATCGTATGAGAACGTCAGGTGTTCTAGTACTCCCATCGCCAGCGTCCCTGGAAATACCAAACATCTTTTACATTAACACCGTGCATTGAGATGAAGGATCATATGCCTACCAGAAGGATTCGTCACTTTTGACGTTATCTGCGTTCATCAATTAAGAGAAAGCGACGACAGTTGTTAGTTTGGTGTTCAAATACTTCCCATCGCCACCATTGCAGGAAATTATTGACAACGTTCGCACTATAACAACGTGCATTGTCATAGAAGATGATAGGCTCCGTCACCAATAAAGGTCGTCGCTTTGAGTGTGGGATATAGTTTATGTCTCAGATCATGCATTGGGTCATAATCCGACCGTTGTCCCGAATCTCCGGTGACGGCCATGGGAAGTACTGGAACACCCGCCATACTCACCTGATGTGAATCCATGTGACTAGCAACCTCTTCTCCAAAATGAAAAAAACCTTTACGAGAGATCCGTTGCAATATTGCTGTTCAGAAGAGTTTATCCGTGACTTAAAGCTGTCTCCGTGGACATCAGCAGAAGTTAAAGTTCTGATGGTGCACTAACATGCACCATCAACTGATAATTGAGCAGGTGCTGGTAGGCACAGGATTATATTGATGAAGTGTAAATGTTGGAACCTATGGTAATATTAAAATCTTTTCAGAACTACCGGCGTTGTTCTCATTACTTCTCATCCAACTCTTGTATAAGTCGTCATTCTCCTTACGATTTATTGGTTGGCCAATGCTCGTTAATCATACAAAATGCATTTCTTTCTACCTCTGAAAGTCAAACATTCGTGGTAAATTATTAACACAAATAATTATCTTTTAATGTATTAAAAAAGTGTCGATTACTGATCTTCAGTGATTGAAGAGTGAACAACTGTCTTGTACAGTCTCATCTCGTTAATATGATTTGCTCTTTAATTAATAGACAAAGTTCCTTACTTTAATTTACTAATACAGCTATAATATGTTGCGTTGATTATTGTTTGGTAACTGACTTCTAGTCTGTTTGTTTACTTGTTAGCTAACATTACGATACGCCATGGGTCGCGAAACAACAAAATTCCCTTTTGCTCAATGGGACATTGGTCTGATTGGTCTCCTTGTTCTGCAACCTGCGGAGCAGGACTCAGATTTCGCAGGAGATGGTATCTTAACCCATCTGCGTTGGGCAAGTGCGATAGAGAAATACAGCAGCAACTCCGCTGCACAGCCGACAAGCCGGAATGTCAGATCAATATACAAAAGGCAAAAAGTACGAGTGGTCTGTATTTTATAGATTTCTGCACGCCAGGATGCGCTTTCATTCCTGATTTTCAAATTAATGCGAGAATAATTTACCCAATGGACAGATTTCGCTGAAAACGATTCGTCGCATGATTAGTTCATTGACGATTCATTGCATGAATTTTCTTATTTAAAAATTATTTCCCGCATATCCTTGAAAGTCACTGTAGTTAGTAAAAGTATTAGTCAGAATTAATTACATTTAACTGTAGAATTATCTATAGGTTTACTAATATTTATGAAGTACGTATTGTTGTTGAATAACTTAATAATAATACTAATAACTAAGCTCGTTAACTGCTGTGTTCAACTAATCTCTCTCTGTTAAACAGAAATAATAAAATTTTCTACCAAACAGACTGTTCTATAGGAAAGACTTTCTAATACTATGTAACTTAACTAAGTAACTCTTTTGAGAGAAAATACTCTAATAAGCAAATTGCTCAGATATGCTCTATACACAAAATTGATGAAATATAATTACATTACACACTTTTTAATTCAAACATTGGATATTTTACTCTCGAGATCAAATGCTCAAAATTAACCTTATTTACCCTCTCTTTAGTAACTAATCACATCGAGATTATATCAAATGCATTCCTAAATAAATGCTATTTTTTAAAAATATCTTTCACATTGCCATTCATAGTTCGTATAATGAATAGGGTGATAATGGCAGCAGTCATTTGAAATTCTAAGCACGTTCGATTGATTTCGAGAAAATTTCGAATAGCGACGAAACTTTTCGCGTGCGAATCTTTGGTAGAGCAATACTCAAGTGAGAAACTTGAGGACTGAAGGTGGAGAAGGGTTCCATGTGAACAGCAGTTGAACATGGGTCAGTCGGTCCTAAGCGATCGGAGAAGTCCGTTCCGAAGGGGGACTTTGAGCTTTGCCTGATATAAGCACGTTTGTCCCCCTGTTGACCGAAAGGGAATGGGGAATGGGGTTAATATTCCCCAACCTGGACACGGAGATTGGAGCTTCGGCTCCAAATGCGGTAACGCAATCGAACTCGGAGACGTCGACGGGAGACCCGGGGAAGAGTTATCTTTTCTTTGTAAGAACTCGTGTCCCTGGAATCGGATCATCCGGAGATAGGGATGGTGAGTTCGTAAAAGCACCGCGGCTCTTGCGGTGTCCGGTACGCTCCTGTCGACCCTTGCAAATCCGAGGGAGAGATTATGATTTTCGTGCCAGACCGTACCCATATCCGCAGCAGGTCTCCAAGGTGAACAGCCTCTAGTCGATAGAACAATGTAGGTAAGGGAAGTCGGCAAGTTCGATCCGTAACTTCGGGACAAGGATTGGCTCTGAGGACTGGGCCCGTCGGGCTGGGGTCCGAAGCGGGTGTGGCACTGCACCGGGACTGGGCGAGAACCGTAAAAGTGGTCCGTCGGGGCCTTCCCGTGGAATGCCTCAGCTGCGCGGCGCACCGGTCACAAAGCTCGGAGCGACCGTTTCGGCGGAAAACTAACAGCCGACTCAGAACTGCCATAAGATTATAATTAACTGCCTCGATCCGGTGATATCTTATTTTTCGGGATCAAGAAATCAAAATCAGACCTTGAAAAATCATGCATTTTTGCAACAATTATAAAACAATTTGAATTGAGGGCAAAATCATTATTCAAACAAGGTATTTGTGCGTGGAGCAGGCTGTCTTCATGCTAGCAAATGAATTCAATGAACGTCAGTAGTGAGCATGAGATGTCACTTTGTTTATTTTCACAGCTGAGCTCGTTCTTCGTTAGCTCATCAAATTTCAAATATTTCCCACCCACAGTATTGAATTGTGCCAGTGATAGCAATAACGACAGTATATTACAGTTAATGTGCGCCTCCTAATGAAACGCATTGCAGAAGTCTTACAAATTTTTCATATGGTTAGAATCATTCCTGTTTATTTATTATTCCTGTTTATTTATTATTCCTGTTTATTTAACGCAAAGTTAGATAACAGTTATATTTAGTAGACAACTGTAATTTGAAATACCAAATAGTTAGCTACAATATTTACGATATGTACAGATGTATAGGAATCTTGGTTTAAATGAAGTGCCCTGAATCATAAGATGAGCGACTACTGGTGCGTGAATAATTCTGTAGGGTGAGTGACAATAAACTCCATGAGCTTCATGCTACTTTAAAAATAGTATAGATCTTTGAAGTTTTCTGCTGTTAAAAAAATCATATTACGTAAAAAATCTATTTTCTTAACATCTGTAAAGAGTTGCAATGCTTTAAAGCAGTGCATAAAATTGGCATCAGATGCTGACGTACCACATGTAAATCTGAGATTTCTCTAGGAAACGGTCCATGATAGGTAATATTAGAAAATGATTTATTTTTAATTATTATCCTTCTGTAAAAAAACGTTGGCAGTAGATCATATATAAATCTTCTTGTTCCTTTGAGTATTTCATCTATCTTGCCATGATGTAAGATAATAGTTAATTCTAATTCCCAACTTCGATTTTGGTACGGTTGATAAGAAACCTCCGTGTATGCTGTAGTTGTCTTTGCTGTCTTACATAGTTGCTCATGTAAGTTGCTGCATCGTTGCTCATGTAATGCAGGCTTAGAGCAGGATGTATTTTAACTGGCCTTCTGTCGCCTGTTGACAGAAGTTACATCTTTTATCCGAATCTCTGAATATTCGAGTCTTTTTAATAAGTTTGTGTTAGCAACCTTGGTTAGTAGCATAACGTGAAATTTAGCTTGAAATTAGTTTTACCAAGATTTTATGCGGGTGTATGACTCCACCGCAGAAACTTTGTTTCAGTTTTAATATACCATCTTCATGCACTATACGTGTTCTTTCTTGAATTGTTATCATATGCAAAATAGCTTTCGAATAATTGTTAACAAGATTCCTTACAGTTCCATTGTCTTAGAATTCAGAAAACATAACTACAAAAAACACAGTGTCCACAATGACATCAACTCAAATTAAATTATCCCACATTTTGGTTCAGTTTTGGTGTACGATTATTTGAAATATCCTATACCAACTAAAATGTCATACATCAAAACGATTAGATGTCATCTGTGCTTCTCAAATATGGTTTTGTCACTTAATTTCAATTGGAAAGTAGTTCATTGTTGTAAAATTTGGATGCAATGTATGGTCAGATGAATACAATAACGATGAAGTCCTTATATTCTAGAATACAGACGGACGACCTTCCATAATTTGTTAGCGATATTCGAATGATAAATTAACTGCGATCATAATTAAGCGGCAAACTCTTTCAGGTTTCCATAGTTATTGCTATTTTATTCACTTCATTGTAATTTTCCTTTTGCGAATTGCTTTTGTTTATAGTTTCACTATCGCTTCTTGCCATCTCCTTTATTTTATTTCCTGTGCTTAGGATAAATCTTTTTTTATGTTACAAAAGCATTGAAATAGTGATCTGTGATGAGTTGTGTAAAGGCTTCCCAATTGTATCTGATTGCCAAGCAAACGCATGCATTATTCTCAAATCATTATTTTTCAGGGCTTTACTTCAGTTTTGAAAGGAATAAATGCAATAAAATTTCTGGTATCATAGCTGTTTATCTGTAGAAATAATCTATAAAAATTTCAAAGATCTGATTTCTTTCCAAAAGTCGAATCTCCGTTAATGAACGTTCCACTTCAATGGAATTATGCCATTACCGGATAGTTTCTGAATCTATGGATCCTTGAAGCAGGAGACTAGGGCACTCTCATTTAACGGATATTGTCTGTAAACGAATAAAAACCTTGATGCTGAGAGTGCGCATTAACGGAAGGTTCGACTGCATAAATTTCTGATCAGGTTTTTTCTATAGCCAATTAACCACCAAATGAATCTGTGCATATTATTTATTATACGTAAAATATTAAAAGAGTCGTATATTATTAAAAGTAAAATAATTTAATAATATGCAACTTTACAAATGTACATCTTTTTTAATTTTACCTGTGCATTCATACTATTTTCGCCCATTTTTTTAGTTTATAATATAAAAAGATCTAAAATTTCGAAGCAAAACATACCTAAGTCAAGAATCTTAAAAGAGCAATGGATTACGAACTAAGCAATTTTCTTAAATGTCGCGTGATTCAGAAAATATTGGTTGTCAGGACATCATCTTCGACGAACATTATTTTGTCTTAGAACATATCTTCAATAGCTATACCTCTGAAATACCTTCAGTAGCGGCGAGATCGTGCTGAGATGACGATCATTACTTCTCATTTAAATGAAATATTTCCTAGAGACGACAAATTTATGTTCTCCTATTTCAAAAGATGTGTTTGAATTTCAGATAATTGCATGCAGCCCAAAGAGGTTGGACCATGCAGAGGATATTTCCCACGTTGGTATTACGACGTAGGAAGGACTATGTGTCTCCAATTTATCTACGGTGGATGCAGAGGTAACAAAAATAACTTCGAACGCTATGCGGACTGCAACAGGATGTGCGAAACTATGTTGAGAGGTAAGTGTTGCGGTCATTATGATGAAAAGTCTATTGAATTATCCTCCTGTTTCTTTTATTGTTATATATATCTAAATTGAAGGCATATCTCTGTATAAAATTTTAAGAGAACTACTTATAATTCTTTATTTGAAGCATTTTTGAGGGATCGTTCTTATTTCTTAGTCCGTTATAAAATATTTGCTGTGTTTAATTTTGCTAAACATTATTCACAGCGCTAAACTTTCATTTTGTGAAAAACACAGAAATATCAATCTAATTTTTTTATTTAATAATCAGGTATTATAACGATAGCTGTCAAAAGCATTATTATCAAATTATTGTCAAAAGCAACATTAATATTGTTATTAGAAATAGATGGTTTTGCTACAGACATATTATGCCGCCCATCTTCAGACATCCAGTGTGTGCAGGTTTATCAGCCTAATAGGAAACACTATCAGCAGAGAAGTGAAGATAGTCGAGCACTAACAACGTGGAACAGCATCAAGTTAACAGATTTCTGGGTACAAAGAGTGAAACATAAGTAAACTTCTTACCAGGAAGTAAGGATGTAGTTGTTTGGGACGTCCGTGGGTATCACATCTGCTAGTTCAGTAGTGCATCCCATCTGCAAAGACACTCGTCAGCAAGTATAGACTGTGACATATAGAAGGCGGCTGATAGTTTGAAATGCGTTTAGTTTATTTTTTGCGAAATCTAAGCGTTAAAGGAATATAATGTACATGCGTTAAACATGGAGAGACTAATAATCAATGAAGCGTTTTACATCCTATTTTGTACATATTCTACTTGTAAAAATATATTAAGGTTACCTTTTGTCTTCATTTTAAATAACAGAGATAATTGTAAACTAATAAGATTTGCATCAGAGAAAATTAGTGTAAATATACTGAAACTATAAACTACTATAAAATAGTAATACACATCTAAAGGAGCAAATTAATAAAAATAACACAATTGTAAATGTCCATTATTGACAACTGTTAAGATATTTGAATAATGCAAATAAAAAAGTGACGATATATTGCTTTTATGACTACTTACTACAGATTTATTTATTTATTTATTTATTGCAAATTCTTATAAACCATTACTTTAATCTACTATAAAGCAATTACTGTAGGAAGTTCTTATAAAACACTCTGTTAAAATTGTATTGTTCTTTTTAAAACTCATCTCAGGAAAGTTCCAAAGCGTAGAATTAGTTAATTAATTAATAATTTCTGCAGTAGGAAATTAATTAGTCGAAATAAAAATGAAATAAATATTAAATTCATTTCCTAGCTTATGCAGAATAAATTAATTTCAGGCGGAATTAATTTTCTGGATTGATAAGTTTATTTGATTGCATGTTGTCTACATAATAAAAAGTAACAATGGCTACAACAGTAATTGTGAATGGAATGCGCTATAAAATTATTTTACTGTGCTATGAAGATAAAAATATTTTACTATGATGGGGCAATAATAGGATATGTAAGATAGTCGGTTGTGAGATTTAACAAAACTAAGTCATTTTCTCGGAAAAGATAATTTTTTACATTAATACTTACTATAAAAAATGAATTCTAGATAATTCATAAAATTGTAGCGGCTTCGTTCGCGTGCAGAAAATACATTGCTCCAAATTGGTTTTAGTAAGACGGCTGTTTTAGTGCGATTGGTTTAAACATTGGGCTGTTAGAGTGAAGATCCGGGGTTCTGTACCTGACCCGTGAGCAGATCAGCAAAGAACATCGATCTTTACATGGGCGACCCGTGATACCGTGATTTTATTCTGGGTTTCCTCTACTGTGGATATACTTCCCAGAGAATCAAGGTGATCCTTGTGGAACTTGAGATTAAACAATACATCACATCCTTTCCCGGGAGGGTACAGCTTAACTGTACAGAAAAGAGAGAGAATAGGCATCGGCGGACATTCCCATTATTACCTCTGATATGCATAGATCAGATAGTGCATATTACTAAACAGTACACTGGATTTCAAAAGTTAAGTAACAAAGGAAAACCTAATGATAACTCAAAATGTATGCAAGCAAAGTAAACGAAACTTGGTGAAAATATTTGTTATATCTCTTGTAATTTAAAACCATAATAAAATGCTACACAGAATATTTACAGTTTATGATATAAACAGGAGCATGGAATCTACTAGATTCGAGCAACAATTTAAAACAGAAAAAAAAGTTCTCAGCGGTGAGGTTGATCACACCGAACAGCAATACAAGTTTGACAGCAATATTTCGTGCCGTTTATGATGTTGTAAATGAGCTGCATAATTAGCAGTATCCAATGATCAAGTAACATCATTTAAGGTTTGCAAAGAAGTTTAGAGGCCAGCTGCAAACCTCCCCAGAACATCCTACACCTACTCAGTGGGATTAAGATCAGGAAAGCGTGCTGGTCTGTCCTGCAATTGGACTACAGTTTCTTTTTCAAAAACCTGGAACACAAGGAGTTCAGTGTGAGAGAGCGTATTATCTGCTTGCAAAATGAAGGTATCGCCAATAACGGCAACATACAGGCGAACAGCAGGATACAGTATGTCATCTCTGTACCTCTGAGCATTCAGAGTTCCTTGTAGCAACACGCAGAGGTCTGTGCGCCCACCTTAAGGTACTTCTGTTCATGCAAGAACACTAATTCCTGTATTATATATCCCTTTCCGGTACGTTAGACGGAAAATATCAAGTTTTTGTCTGTCTTTATATGTAAACACGTCGAGAATTACTCCGTAGAGCAAAGCGTGACTCATCAGCAATCCAAACGCACCTGCACTGATTTTCAATCCAGTTTACATAACTACAAATTCAAATACTCTCTCAGGTGGAAGGTGAGCGGCACGCACACTGCCGGTTGCTTAGCATACAGACCTCTTTCATGAAACCTTTTGCATACTGTCGTGACTGATTCTGCCCTTCAGAAATAATAAGGAATCTAAACTGAAATGGAGTTGGAGTCCTGGTGCACCAAGTCGCAAATATGCTCATCTGCAAAAGTCGTAACTCTTGGCCTATCTTTGATAGATTTCCGACAAGCTGAACCAGTGGTTAGAAATTCATTCCACAATCGGCTTATCGTAGAATAATCAACATTTAGCCATTTTACAATGCTGTCGTTGACCTACTTCTAATCGGCCTATGGCTCTACAACGCTCGAATTCATTTTTACACTTTAGCTCTCTCGAAACTGTTTATTATATATCCCTTCTATTAGCAATGATTCCTTCCAAAACAGTTAAAGCTAACGGTAAGGTCTTTTGAGCCAGGTGACATGTTTGGTTCTGCTAATTGCAGTAAAAAAATGAAGTGCATAACTAGATGTTATGGCAGTCTCGTATATGAAATTTCAGTGTTTTACGGCTAATTGGGGATGCATACGTACGTATGTACACGTACATACATCAGACGTACGTCACGAAAAAAATCCTTTTTGAATCCATTTTACAATCTGTTTTGGAGAAAAGAGTTTTATTCTGTCCATACGTACAAAGGTATATCTGGTATTAAAGGTATATCTATAAGGTCTGCAGCGCCCCCCCCCACTGTGCACAATTACGTGTATATTAAGGTTTGATGGTCCACGAATGAGTATTTATATCCAACGAGCACAGCCTTGGTTACGGACATACGGTAATCCATCCGTAATCAACGCTAGTTCCAAGGCGCTCTTTGAGAAAATCTCTTGCGTGGAGACGAATTCCTTTATGAATTACCATTAAATCTTCTCAACGAACTCTCCCAGTGTCCGTATCTGTTCCCCATTCTGTCCATTTAGCAGCTTTTATTTTAAAAAAAATTCTTCGGATACAAAATTTAGATATACTTACACGCCATGTAAAACAACCATCTTGATAGATTTCAGAATGGTCAAAATGGATATTTCCGTTGAAATACGATATCCAAAATTTTTCGCGATTAAAATATTTCCTTTACTTCGTACAAGGAAGTAAACTTGTTTATTTTTTCAATTAATATTTTTTGTATTTAATATGTCTCTATTATATTACATTAATTAATATGAATATTACATTATTATTATATTACTATTAATAGTGCATTATTATTTATTTTCTTAAAATTATTGATTACAAATATCTCCAAGAATATTCTCTATAGGTATACGAAAGTTTTAATTTCACTTATGTATGCATATAATAAATATTCCATTCATTGAGTTTTCTTGTCTGAGAGGACGATATAAAATGTTTAATGTTAACCCTTAAACACCCAGTCTCGAAAGCGTTTTTTTAATAAAATTCCCTACATTATTTTAAGAAGAAATACATACCTAAAATACAACTTTTTTTAAACGTCTTATGTAAATGTCTTAATAATATTTGAATATGTCTTAATAATTTCTGAAAAATAATTTTTCAGAAATTTCAAGACCAGTGGCCGTGTGAATAAGACTACTAAGACATGGTATCTCAATCAAGCTCGAATTTCAGGGAAAGGGTTTGACTGCATATTCCTGGTTGTCGCCATGTCTAACATGAACACTAGGGAGCTTTTCTTGAAAGTTCTGTATGAAGACATGTCTTCCTTTCAATAGATAGCATTCATTTGCCTTGCCATTAACAACTGAACAAACTGAAAGTGTCAAATCTGTTAAACTATAATTTTTAAAATAACGATATTGCAGATTCGTGTTTTTTGACGTGATATGCCGTTTTCTTTTTCCGAGTAGTTTGATCTTCTTATTTTACATATTTGTTATTTTATTGCTCAAGTTATGGATATTCTCATATTTTCTTTCTATATCTTTTGTAAGAATTATTCTTTGAATTTTCGTGTATGACTAGAAATTTATACAGCATATTTTCCGAGTATTAAACTGCAAAATTATTCCCACCATACATTTTTCAGTTTCGTTTTGCAATTTCTTTTGGAACTAACTTATCAACTGCACGAAAGAAAATAAGAAGTAGATCTATAGGCGATGAAATTTTCCAGTGTGAACGCAATCTTTCTTATGCATACGAAATTTTTTTC